AATATTCCCAATGAAATATTAAAATTTCAATATTTCAAAAATTGCAGCAATATTGCAAGTTATGCAATAATGCATGCATTGCAAGTTTTTCGAGAATAAGGCTAAACTGTACGACAGGTAGATGAATGCATGCGTTTCGAAAGACGTAATAAGTCGCTTTTACCGTAAAGTGTAAACGGCGATCACCCGATAAGGATCGAACTGTGGAATTTGTCATTAACGAAAACAGCTTGCCCGTAACTTATAACTTGTCTGCAGCTATATCGATATAAAGATATGGGTAATTGTCTAAATTTACAGCAATTGAGTCTAAGTGATGTAGAATTTAATGCGTCTAACATCCATAATGGTTAACGATTTAAAGGAAAGCAATCTAGACCGAAGGAGCAAGACCTGAGCTAACTCGGAAATACTAGTTCAATGTTTGTAACTAAACGAAGAGATACACACACACACACATACGTAATGTCATAGCTGTTGCGTGACAATCGTTCGTGCGAACGTTTCACGAATCACCAGTTTCGCTCGTCTGGCGGCGACATCTGCCTGGCAACCGCATCTTCCTCTCCGTCTGCTTCTTCAGCTTCATTTTTTATCGCTCTTCTCGTATGCAGACCCTTTAGATAGCTTCCCATCGAGCTGCATTAACGCCAATGTAAAGATATCAAGATGTCTTATAGATATACGAGATGTTTATTGATGGAATAATAAAATAGAATAGTAGGATAAAATAATTATTTACGCATTCGTTTTTGACAAATAGTTCAATGCTTATTGCTGACATAACAAGTGTTTACATTAATTTCTCCATTGTGTCCATTACAATTATTTTCTGTACAAATATTTCTATCTGTTTTTAAATTTCAATTATTTATCTTAAATTTTTTTAAAATTATTTATTATTTTTAATTATTTCCCTTTTTTCTCTAAAAAAAAAAAAAAAAATATAATTACGCATTCGTTTTTGACAAATAGTTCAATGCTTATTGCTGACATAACAAGTGTTTACATTAATTTCTCCATTGTGTCCATTACAATTATTTTCTGTACAAATATTTCTATCTGTTTTTAAATTTCAATTATTTATCTTAAATTTTTTTAAAATTATTTATTATTTTTAATTATTTCCCTTTTTTCTCTAAAAAAAAAAAAAAAATATATATATCTGTGCGAGTATAAAGAGCGCGCGTAGGATCGTTTTCATTTTCCACCCAAACAAAGTTCCCACTCGTTTTCCGAATGACATTACGTAGGTAGATATAGAATCCAGCTTGTGTTGCCGTGCTTTATAATCGACATCGATTAACGCCGCGCCTTTCGGAAATTTAAATGATACGTATTAGATCGGTTAGAATATTAGGTAAAACCAGAGAGAAAGAAAAATACCGCCTCGTCACGATCCTCAAGGCAGTATTTTACGCTGTTGAGCAGTCAAAGCGAAAGTACTGTAGAAACATAAATCGTAACGAGTATAATGTATTAAATCATATATGTTTAGGAGGCCTTTATTCTCAAGGTCGATCCACCGGCGTTACGAACCTTTTGAGAAACAGCAGAGCGTGTTTAACGAAGTATAACTGGTTTCCCGAGCCGGTGTTCGTAACGCTTGCTACATCGATTAAATTATTGATCCACGTTTGCGTTTCTTGGTTGTGCATCCTTATGTCGCGTCGAAAAATTTCGACGAGAAATTTTCGTTGTGGCGAAAACGGCTGAGAAGTTTGCTTTGCATAGCTGCGGCTCGGCATGAGAATGGCAACGAAGGGCGGAGAAATCGGCATGACGTAACGGCCCGTATAAAGGCAATAGAAATAAATGACATTAAATTGTTGGGTGGTATGTTTTTAGCGGGTTCTACTGGTAGCATCGGAGAATGAGACGAATTCGAAGACGAGATCAAGACGATATCAAGACGAAGCTTGTGTATTTATACAGCCTCCAACGATGACTGTTTTAGAATTAGAAAGATTTGTTTATGCGTGAATTTCTTTTACTTTACTTTTCTTTTTTACTTCACTTTACAGTACACTCTGGATACCTCTCATATGTGTGAATTCTATTTGTAAGAGAAAAGTGTGATATTCTTGGTGCTAACAATACAATGTTGAATATGGAACTATAAGTATAATTATTATTATATTAACAATTATACTAACAATTATAGCACTAATAGTTGTAAAAATAGAGCTCTTAAGTATAATTATCTTTGCTCGCCATGCAATTATAGTCACAAATACCAAACACTTTTCGCTTAGTACAACTTTCTAAAATAAGTCCACGCGAAAGTACCGACCAACTATCCTCTATAGAAAAATCTGCAAAAGGGAGATTTGCAAAACGAGCAGCATGCTTTCCGATGCATTGATAAAAACATTGTTCGACGTAAGGGACGTATGCACCATACGCCATAGGCAGCTGCTTCACAACGGACAATTCATGGGGTACGACAATAGGCGAGAATGGCTCGTCAAATCGATCCAGGTTTGCGTGCAAGACTCATTGCGTTCAAGATTTGTAGCGTCTCTTACGTCGGTTAACGCGGCAAAATTTATTCTGTAATAATACGTTCTGTTAAAGTCGATTTTTCTTTTAAAGGAAGCTATATTTCCTCGTCTTGTAAAATTGAACGTTTGCTTTTAGAGATCGATTAACTATCTCAATATAAGATGAATCAATTCTGTCTGATTTATCCAATTTCTTTATCAATTGTTCCACGATACGTTTGTGGGACTCATCACTCAACATAATCGAGATTCTCAACAAACACAGGACTATCGCTGATTCTTAGCGTATCCTGCATATCGGCAAGGTCACGACCTCCACCGAGAATCGTGACTGGATTGTACAGAACTCTTCAGGTCGTTGCCGTCATAACGCTATCATATTGCATTTATCGCCCTGGCAATCTTTTTTATAGCTTCCACGTATATTTCCAAAAGTAACATAATCGTCTGTCTTAATGATACAAAATAACAAATTGATTGTTCGTTATTGATCATTTGAACAAACGTGTTCCAGATAATAATAAAATATTATAAAAACAGGTAATAAGAAAATATTCTCATATCAAAGACGCGTAACAGTCTAGAAATACTATCTCTGTAGACAAAAATCCGATTTAAATTTCCTATACGCTTCAATGTGCATTTCGAGCACAGGCGGGTATTCTATTTCACGTTATGTCCGGCTCAGCTGTCAATGTCGACCCGCACTCACGAATGAAATGCACATATCTTCTGTAGACTTTAGTTTTATAGATATTTAGCAAGAAAGAAGTATGTGTGAATTGAGAAAAATCGATGAAAATTGATTCTCTGCCAAATTAAACTCTTGAATTTTTCAATTCAACTCTTTTCCTCAAATAAAGAAAGTTATGTACATCTAATGATAGCGCTGACCAGACGAGTGCGTCCTTGGCCTATCCAACAATCAGAAATTTTTTTATTCAAGACATGATGTCATGTGCACGAGAAACGGTGCGTATTCGACATTGCAATGAGTTGACGGCGCGCAAGAAACTTTCTGTTTCCGTAGTGCGCGTATTCGGCATGAGAGTGTATAAGAATTGTAAAAACTTACAGTTTTTATATATATTCGAGACAAAAAGTTTGAAAATATTTTTGAAACTTTGAAATTTTTAAAAGTACTTATTCAAATATCCATAACGAAGTCTTTTTTAATAATATTCTTTAGATCCAATTATTGTTATCGGATCTGAAGAATTATATTATTTAAAAAAACACAACATTATTACGAATATTTAAGTAAAATTTTTTAAATATCCATTTCTGAAAGTATTTTCAAATTTTTGATAATGTATCATCCTCGATGATATTCATTAATTCTCAAGTTATAACTGAGTTAAATTGAAATGTTTGCAAAATTAAACGAAGAAAAGCATTTCTTATTCATATATTCTAAATGTTTAATCTGATAAAATTTGTATATTTTAACATGAAACAACTTTAGAACTGTGTGAAATAATTTTAGAATTATACTTTCGCTTAAAGTATTAAATTAATTTTAAATTCTTAGGATATTATTTTCCTAGTTCCACACTTTAATACATAACACAGAGATGACCGACCTGATATTTTTTTTTGAATACCTAGTATTTCCCATACGTTCATGTTTCCTTCTTTCACTTTGATTTATGAATTTTTACGATCCCGATCGCTCGCTCGTATGGGGCCCACGCCACGGTAGGAAAGAATTTATCGTGGGACTCACCGACGCGACCTGGAAGGGTCCAGCTACGAATTCCAATCTCGCTAAATCGGTAAAGGCCCCTCCAGAGGTGGCACTCCGATTTTTTCAACGCGTCCACCAGGCGCTCGTAAATGATGCGAGGTAGGCTCCGGACCGGCGCTCGCGAACACTCATATTTTCTCCGCACAAATGGAGTACACTCGCGAGATCAGTTCGTCCACCTTTTGCTCCCTAAAAAGGAGTTTCTTTATCCTCTTTTTTTTTTTTTTCAAGAAATCGACGTCAATTCGACAGACGCGGCGCGTCGCGTCGCGTCGCGTTGCGTCGCGTCACGTGCCGACTTACACTGTCGTGGCAACGAGTGCTCCGCCACTGTGTTCCATAGCAACATCGCTGTGTGAAGGCGGGTCTGCTTAGCGATTGGTGTAAACGATCTTGGAAGGGAGAACGGAGGGGACTTTGTTCGGACTGAGAGAAACCTGAGAGCGATCATCCCGGCTTTTTTCGTATAACGCTTATACTACCAGCGCACCAACGTACATTTTTGAGATATGGGAACTATGTACTACATCTATTTTGCGAATCTGTTGATAAAGTCGTAGTATCGAAAATGGACGAGGTAATAAAAGCTGCCAAGAATTGACTCTTGAAATTATTATTGATACCTAAATATTAAAACATACATTTAATATCAAGTTTCATCAATAACGTGTGCTCTTAAGCCCTAAACACAATGCGAGGGAATAGCGATAGCGATAAGTTTCAACCTATCAAAAATGCGTATTCCGGTGTATTCGATTTCTGATAAGTTGAAACTTATCGCTATCGCTATTCCCTCTCGCATTGTGTTTAGGGCTTTACTGAACTAAGAAATATATATAGATGATAAAACAAGCAATGTTGCATGGATTCTTCGTGATAGCGACGCGTCATTTAGTTTGAAGCTTGACGAGATAAACGTGTACAATCTGAGATCATCACTCCAAGACTTCGAACACGATAGGATTATACTAATATAAATATGTTTATTTTTAAATCAGTCTTTCAACCCCATTTACTAAAATTGCAATCCATTATTCTTTCCGACGTGACGGGCTGCAAAGACGGTGGTAAATAAGGATAATCGATTAATTTTGACGGTGTGTTCCACACCAAACAATTGAAATCCTCAGTGCCACTCGAGTCGATCACATTCTCAAAATATTCCTTGATAATATCTTCTGAATTTGGCCAACCATCCTTAGGTTGAGCTGCTAAGACTTTGGAGTTTTTCATTGCAGCTAGAATTAGAAAGTTATCTATTGAAGATTTAATGTCTTACATGGCAATAGTAGGATGGTCGATAGAATGATTAGCTACTCCATACAAACTTGCATAATTGCATGTGCATAAAGAAAATTATCCAATTGCATTTCTATGATAAGGATGCATGTAAAATGCGATTAGATTTTCTTTATGCATATGTTTATGCAAATTTGTGTCTGAATAAATTCTTACCGAGCTGTTGAAGTTCCCATATCATTGGTGGAGTATAATGCGAGAATCGACAACCAGAACCAAAAGCGCAGTCTCCAACAGTCATGTAACGTTTACATGGAGTTTTGCAGGATTCTTCTTTTAATATCGTTTCTGGGTCTAAAGATGTTAATAAATTAGTGCATTATAATCTGATTAATTGTATGCAAGTACAAAAGAGGTTATATAAATACAAAGACACTAAACAAAGGAGTAAATAAGAAAAATGTAGTTTAATGCTTACCTTTAAATATGTTGTAATGACTAGCTCGATTTGTTATGTGCTGCATGCTGGATAGATGCTTTTTACGAGCATCGACTTCATCCTTGAAAGATCTGTCACAATAGTCGCAATAGTATGTCTTGCCCATTGTCATGTATCTTATAGGAAGAATATAAGTTCTATCAATAGTTACATTGTATATTGCACGACAATTGAATAAATATATTCAACAATAGTATTTAAATTATGTATTTAAATAGAAACTAGAGCCCTATAATACATAGGACTCTAATAGAAACCGTTCTACTCATACGATGTGTAGAATACCAACAAAACAAAGCGAGATCATGTAAGATAACTAGACTAGAGCAGCAAGTTTATTTGCGTTAAAGTCCTTAAAAATGTTTGTACTTAAAATGAGATAAATAAATTAATAAAATATATTCGAGCATTAGAGAGAGAGAGAGGGAGAGGGAGAGAGAGAGAGAGGGAGAGAGAGAGAGAGGGAACAACAAAGATTCTGAGTGCAAAAAGTGCAAGCAATACAGACTCAGGGGTCAACTATAGGTCTGTTCTTTTTGACTAAACTTTTGCACTAGTTCTTTTTTTATTTTTTTTCCAGGAGAAGAGAAAAGGAAAAAAGATGAACTGGTGCAAAAGTTCAGTTAAAAAGAACAGGTCTCATTTAACTTTTTTCTCTAGAACGGAAACGAAAATTAAAATTTTTTATATGATGTATAAAAAATTTTAATTTTCATTTTTTATACATTTCCATATTAGTGAAAAAAATTTCATGATTGATCTCCCCCAGTATTGTTTGGCAAGCCGTTTTTTTCGTGCAGGAAAAATTCAGTAACGTATATAAATGTAAAAGATAAGTATTCATAATTTTGACGATATTTTACAGTAGAAAAATAAGAAATCTAGGAACTCTAGGCTAGGATAAAAAAGTATAAATTATTTTATTTAATTTTATAATTTTTTATTGATTTTCTAAAAATTTTTATAGGTATAATTTTTATAGAACGTCGAAACGGTACTCCTACAAGCTCCGTATAATTTCGAATTTAATACTGCAGTGGTATTAGAACGCTCATGAGCGAAAAATACGGCTTGCCTATTTGCGTCCATGATGAAATCAGTTTAAAATATTGGATGAAAAAAAATTAACTAATTACATTGGTCATGTAATCGAATTATTCAAATGTAATCTGTTAATTTTTTCTTTCAAGATCTCTGTGTAATCTCTAGCATCATAAGAATACAGTGATAACGATCGGTACTAGAGACCCAAGATACTATTATAACGACACCTAAGAATGAGAGTGTCAATTATACTAACTTATTTTTAAGTACACATCAGGTAAAAAAATGCATGTTTTTTTCCACGCATTCAATGATAAAGATCTCAATTTAATTATTTAATATTACATGAAAATTTTACTTGCTAATATAAATTAGCTAATTAAATTTATATTATTTTTATAAATATTTTTGGAAAAATTAAGGATGTCAATTGCGATATTGAACAATTTTTTTAAATTTATGTTGAGACAATTAAATTAATAATATAACATTATAGAAACATCCAACAATAAACACCAATTAACAGTAACATATTTTCATACACTCGACAATATACATATATAACATATATGTGATATTGTGTAATAGTATGTTGTCGAATGTATTGTTATACATGTCATTGTTAGTTAGTGATAACTAAGATAAAGCTACTAGTAATTATATATTTGTATAAAAGAAAGATAGATTATTGCTATTGCATAAATCATTGTGGACATTGTAATGAGATTTTGTTATACTTGTTATTACATTATTGTATTTGGATCAAGTTCAATTGACTGTGAGTTATCCTGGTTTTTAGATTTTAGTTCGTACATTAAGTAGGTATGTATTTTAAATAAACGGATTACATTGTAATGTACCGTCCGTTTTAGCGCGGTACGATTGTTTTATTAAGTTCTTACAATATATTTTACCACAACTTGTTCTTGTGCACCGCTAAACTATTCATACGTGGTAAAGTAACGTATCGACAAGAATGTCTATTATCCGTCGCAACGTTCCTCTTTCTATACATTAATTCGATACAATAAATATTCTTCATTCACAATATTCACTCCGACATAAACTAAACGACGTTACGCGATGATAGATCATTTTCGACGATACCAAAGCTTCGCTTTATTTAATTTTCTACAAGCGACAATAGATAACCTATAGGTAATACGTAATCGCGTGATTCAAGACAATACTTATTTATAAATTCAAAATTGCTAAATAAAAAATCGTGGATGTAACTACGAGAGAATGGAACTCGGAAATATCCACGAGAGATTTTTGTGGGAAATTGGGAAGTCGCTATCGCGCGAGTTCGAGATTTGATCTTACAAGCTAAAAGTTAATGATATACCGGATATAGGATATAGGAATCGGGAATTGAAATCAAATATTGGATATCGGGAATTCAGACATGCTGTTCGACTATATCTGTTTTTATATGCTTGCTATTGAACAATAGCTGCACGTACCATTGCAATCAATATCAATCGCGCAAGAATATCGCGTAGAATAGTACATTATATTTAAGGAAATTTCAATATTATCGCGATACATTTACTTATATTTACTTGTACAATGACTAAATTTGCGAAATTTTGTTACAATAAATACGTGTAATTATTGCTCATAGTCAGCGTTAAACGTGTAATACAGGAATGTCGCGTAATATTATTTAATACGTAATTCGTCAGTATCTTCAGCAAAATTGGTATAAATATCGGTATAAATTACAAATGTAAAGTAGAAAAACACGTGGACGAACGTGAAAATAATAAATTCGCAGTACCCTGCTTCGTGGACGAATAAAGCTAGCATTGAAGAATAAACAATTATTTGAGTAGTTTAGTTGCTGCTTCGCTGCTTCGTATTATGCACCTTGAATTGCTTACTGATCGATCGTTGCTATGATCACATACAAGAAGTGATTGATAGCATACACAAGTGAGTCTTTTTTAGGCCTGATAAAATAAATTCTCACTTCAAGGATACATTGATACGTTAATTTATATGAAAAATGGACTAGATTGCAACAAAGTTGGAGGTAGCTGTCAATATTTGGGAAAAATTGGCTATATTACATTAAAGAAGAATATTGTAAAAAATTATAGCAGAATTTTAACTTTGGTATAAGAAGGTTTTGAGCAAGTGAACTCGAAATTATTATTTTAAAAACCAGACTCGCGCGTTATCTTGACGAGATTCTTTAACCTTTTAAGCAACTATAAGTTTTGCATACATGTATATTACGCACGCTTTTAATCGATGCAGTAGAACCTCGATTGATGATTACTTCATAATTGACAATAGGCCGATAAGCTGTACATTTTTAAGTACATTATTTTAAATGCCTTTTGCATATTAATATATGCAAAGCATCTGAATGCACCATTTACGTGAAATAAATAATATCGGAAAAGTTTAATGAAGAAATTACATACTAATATCAATAACATTTTTAATATATCCACAAGTTTTATTTTGAAGCACTAATATGCCAATTTCTGTGTCAAATAGAAGTTCTACTGCATTAATAACAAAAAATACAATAATAATAAAATACAATATCTCTTGTGTCCAAAAGTTTGTAAAATTATTTGAAAGTTTGGAATGCTCTCTTTCTTTTTATATATAATTATAGTATATCATAGGAAAGATGTTTTCTAAATTTATAGTCCCTCTAAATATAATAAGTTGAATAGTATGATGGGACTAATCATCAGTTTATTTTGCATTTAGGTCAATAGTTCTTTTCCAAACTCTCAAAGGAGAAGCAATCCTACACATTTTTACACTTTCCACATTTAAAATGAAACAGATATACATATATATAAACTTTTCAAGAAAGAAAAGAAAGTGAAAGAGAAAAATGAAAAAATAAATTGTAGGAAAATGTAAAAAGTGCAGTCAAGAAATATATTTTTAGTTATCACATTCCATTTCAACAATAAATTAGGAATAAACAATAAAACCGTGCTTTTTAAATATTTGTGTGTCATGATAAAAAATATTCGAAAAACAGACTTTCATCGTTAGTTTTAGAATTGAAAACGCTACAACCATACCGTTTATTTTACATAGATACAGGAACTTATAAAAGTTAACATGCATATATTGATATTGGTACATCTTAATGTATGCTCCATTTATCATGCGCAGGACGTTAAAGTTATATTCTATCGCGTTCGTCGCGTTCCACTTAACACATACCTACCGGATATGAGGATTTTGCATGTTTGTTATTCTGTTGTTGTAGATCACAATTTCTGTTGAGTATTATATCGGGTAATTATATAGGGCTCTCTCTTTTCCCCTATATCATCTTTTTTTTTAGTGTTTTATATAGAAAGTGTTGTTATCGTGTTGAAAAGTTCTCTTTGAAAAGTCTTGAAAAATCTGCCTATGTGTGTGTCTCTCCGTTCATGTATGGCAGTAATAACTCATAAAAAATGTAAGTGTAAATCGATAGTATGAGGATAGTTGAAGAATGTGGTCATATGTAGCGAATTGTGTGAAATGTACTCAAAATCGATTATAGGATTCAGCTCAAGGAACAATCTTGTTTTATTTACCATTATAGTCCTTCTTTACACAGTGTAACTTTGTTCCAGAAAACTTTTTTATATATTCACAAATAATATAGAAATATTGAAATGTTCCCACATTTGTATGCCTCAGCCTGTAAATATCTCGTTTGAAAGATCCTCATTTTAGCCAAAGTAGAAAGCGCTTAAATCTCACTGGTCCCGGGCAAAGGCTGCATTAATTGTTAACGTAAAATAAACGGTATCGTTGTTGACAACTAGCGGCCCGAAGTGAACTAATAGTCAAACTCGTTCGGCTGTCCGTTGTTCGGCTTGTCTGGAATGCCTCGTATATATTTTACGCGCATAATTTACTAATTTATGGATGCTACATCATAAGGTACAAGAAATAGGGGATGGCGGTTCGAAACCTGTTAAGAATGGCACTGACTGTAATAAGTAATATTCTATCTCCCGGCATCCCTGCGTTTGAGTAAGCGTCTTATTTTTTAGAGTCGTCGGCAGTAGTATGGATGTTGACCTCCTGACGGACCTTGTGACCGCGGAAACTTGCTTGAATCTTAGTCGCTGCCTTATGCAAGTCTGGATCGGCCAAGTCGATCCCCTCTAACTCGTGTACAGCGTCTTGCATCTGCAGC